GATTTATAGAGTACGAAAAGGCATTTGATTTTGCACATATAATATTGGTATTCAAAGTTGTTCAAAAACATTAAGGTGAGTAACTTTCTTATAGAAAATTGGAAGAAATATATGAAGGTGGGCAGCAGCCCTGAAGCTCCATATAGAAACCAATAAAATTCCAATTAAAGAAAGGGCGATACCATCTTGCTAAATCAGTACAGCTTTCTTTGAATGGATATCCAAGAAGCTAGAATAGAGTGAAAAGGGTATTGAAATGGAGGATGAGCATATAATGCTCTTCACGTGTAAAAGATAACGTACAATCTTCATCTTGTACTGTCTAATTAAAAAATTTGAGATAGCTTTACAAGTGCTTAGTCACCAACGAGTTAGTTAATAGTCCTATCTGTTTCACCTGTCAACCGTTTTTCCTTGATTTTTGGAAAGTTTCTTTTGTACTATTTCATTGTCTCTAATGTTACCAAGATTTTGATAACACCTTAATAATCATAATGTTAATTAGAATAATAACAGTATCAATATTAATAGTATTAGGAGAGAAAGAAAACTATGAAGTTTTGACATACTATTGCTTTTCCATACTTTTTGCTTGCAAAAACTAAAAAGTTTTCCACAGTTGCTATCGTTCTGTCTGCATAACTGTTCAAATGTATTTATTATGCTATCATAGTAGTCACCTGTGTCTGTTTATACATGTGGGTGCTAAATTATTTGGGTGGGGAGCAAATGAACTATATTATGTATAATTGTTTTTTCAGACCCAAACTATCAGCTTGTGGAGCCATTCAAACGTCTTCCAAACAGAAGATGGCATGCTGATTATTATGTTGAGATCAAGAATCCTATTTCTCTCTCTCAGATCAGGAAGAAAATTGTGGTAAGTTAAATATCTATAATTGATTTTGGCCATATATAACCAATTAAATATGTTGGAAATGCATAGTAGTTAAATAATGAGTTGATAACTTTTTTTCTCTATGTTTTTGACAGAAGGGAGAGTATCGTTTTATTTCTGATATGGTTGATGATTTCAACTTGATGTTCGACAATGCTCAGCAGTATAACCGACCAGACTCCAGGATATATAGGGATGCTGTAAAGCTACAGAAATTTATCCAAACTAAGGCTGATGAACTAATGGAGGATGAAGTAAGTGTTCATGAGTATTAGACAGTAATGCAAGCTTAACATAATTTTAGATTTGACAAATCTATAAAAGATAAAATAACTCAGTCATGTTAAATTTTCTCAGAATTGTGTCAAAAGGCATGTAGGATTTATCATATTCCTTTTATCCTACACATATATATGCAAGCATTCTAAGAATGCAGCTGAAGCTTTTCATGTATATGACATGATGGAACACAGTATGTGTGCAGCTTCTTTACCAATGCCATACATGCCATGCCAACTGTTAGTTTAGTTCATTTGTTGTATTTACCTCACCTGCTTACCTTTTTTCTTTATTTTTGGAAATATTCTCTTTGATAATATATATAGGCTTACATGATCACCCACTATCAGGTGGCTGCTTGTAGCGAACACATCTACTCTGCAGCAAGACTCTATGCCTCTTATTTGTAAAGTTATTTACTCTTTTTATGCTTTAGTGTAAAAAAAATCTCAAGGTAGTCTACAATTCGGTGCAAGAAAAATAAAACTATATAACACTATGTTATTTTGGAAGCTTCGTGTCACCCGGGTTACAGCTAGATTTTCCTGTGACAGCATGTTCATGCAACCCACCCCTCAACCCAGATTTTTTTCATGATGTGATGGTCATGTCATGTCATACTAACTATGATATCTATAATGATAGCAGCATTAATATTGATAATATTAGTAAAAATATATTCTTTGTCAAAAAAGGTAAAATCAGGTGAGGTCAAGAGGTCTGCCAAATGCCTTTTTTGGTGACTAACCACTTGTGGAACCATCAATGTGCAGACATATTTCACAAAACAAAACTGCAATAAACAATACATTTTCCTGCTGGCATTGGGTTTAAATCTATTTGTTATGTAATAAATAATACTGAAATGGAATATGATATTGACCTGTAGTCTTCTTGGTAGCAAGCCACTTTTAGCGCCATCTGTGTGTAGACACATTTTACAAAACAAAACATTACATTTTCCTGGTAGCATTGGGTTTACCCACTGACTAGTTTTTGTGAATTTTGTTACATACAGATGGCTCTACATGTGCTCAACAACCAAGGCCCAAGTGACCATGCCTGATTTCACCATTCCTTGAATTTGTGGGAAAGTGTGTGTTTCTATCTAATACTCTTAATATTGATATAGTGTTATTACTCTTATCATTATTGGGATTATTAATTTATTGAAATATCAATAACATTAAAAACAATAAATTAATACAAATGAAACTTTCTAAAAATCAAGGGAAAGAGTAAACAAGTAAGATAGATAGGACTAATAAATGACTCCTTGGTGACTAAGCATTTGTAAAGCCATCTATATGTATAGATAATAGA